CAAACCTACAAATAATAAGGCTAGTTGTACCAGCTGATACTGTTTGGTGCATTGGCTTTTCAGAGGTGGAATATACTTGAAAAGTCAGCAAGCAGCTCACAGGGCTAGAGGGAAGTCAAGAGGGCTATTTGACCTGAGCTTTGAACTCTAGAAGAGTCTTCATTTAGTAATTAAAGAAATATAATTTATCTATGAAATGGCATTTGAACAGTCCTATCATGCTTAATATCAACTATGACAATGCACAAATCCTAGATTTTCCTTTCATAATCAGTGGATTTGCACAAAAAAAGACTAAAACCCCCCACATGTTAGATGAAATATAAATTAAATTCAGGCTCAATCTTTAGGGGTACCTTATTTTGTTTTTATGACTTTATTATAACTCTTTTTTTGGAAACTATATCTAGGAGTCTAAAAAACTCTTACCTTCCCTTAGAGATCTAGGAAGGCGAAAGATAAAGAGAATACACATTTATTAAGCACCTAGGATATGCCTGTTACTGAGTTAATTGCTTCACAAACATCTCATTTGACTCTACTGACAATTATACTGATTATTTAGAGTCATTTAGTTACTAAGTGTCTGCTCAGAATCCTATTTCCTATGGCTGAAACCAGCATCTTCTTGGGTAGCTGACTTTCTTCTAATCTCCATTTTGGCACTCATCCATTTTGTTTCATCCCTGTGCTTAGCAATTTCCCTCCTTAGGCTCTCTGGCTACAGACCATGTTTTAAAATTGGTAAGCACTTCCATCTTCTCTCACACGGCAGTCATTCCATAACCAAGCCCTAGGCTGAGGCCTGAATACTACCTTACCATACCCATTACTCATTATTTTCTCCCAATTGGTCTATAACAAAGTATTTCTTATAACATTTGGGGTGGGGGTGTTGTTTAGCATTAAAATGATACTCCCTGATTCCCCTTCCTTCCCAAAATCCCCACAAGGAGAAACCACCCTACATCCACCAAAATGGACTAAGCAAACAGTCACTAAAGTGATTTTTTTTAGAACAGTGGTGTTAGATTCAAAGAGGCATCTGACTGGGCATGTTGTCTTCATCTAAATGTTGAGTAGGCAATCTACATGACAGGAATGAAAGGTGCAATGGCTAGGTATCTTGATTAAATGTATTGGAAAATATGGATGAAGTAAGGCATTTTAATTAGTAACAGAGAGAAGACTGAATTGATCTCCAGCAAAGCCCAAATTGTTGAAGCAATAAAATGTAGAAAACGTGTCGGAGGCATGATTTGCTATGATGATAGAAGATAATGCAATTTCCATCCTGTAGAGTAAGATGAATTCAAGGATAAAGTAACTATATAATTGAGAAGAGCTGTGGTTGGTAAGCATTTCATAAAAAAAAAAAAACATTTTTCAACAATCGTCTCTAGAACACTTGTATACAAAGATAAATCGAAGTTTTTTGGGGGGAGGGGGTGTCAAAAGACTATATATCCCAAGGCTCATCACGAGACAGAGACACAACGAAACCAGATCTCCTTTTTTAAGAAGTTATTTACTATTCTAAAACCTCAAAAAATTGTATATGTTGCCTCCTGATTTTCAATGCATTTTAATTAATGTCAATGAATTCAATTTACATAATCATTAAATTACTTTATTATATATCCTTTAATATTTTAAAGCTGTGATGATATGTCCATGCTAATTGAACTGACTATAGATAGGTATATCATATCTGAAAAAAAATCTGGTGCTGAAGTTAAGTAATGCTTGCAATAGTGAATCTTGCATATTTAATGATATACATTATTGTTATGGTGCTATGGTTATGCTTGGGCATAAAAGGTAAGTCATTTAAAATATTCAATTAATATTATTTATACACAAAACAAGTAACTCTGGGGTGGGTTGATTCTGGGAGTATGAGAAGGGAGAAGAAATTTTGTGGCTACCATTCCTCCCTCCCCTGAAGGGAGAAGTCAGCCACAATTCTACTCTTCTCTCCTCCTCCAGATTTGATCTCATGAATAAGAATCAATTATCATTTCAATTTTCTAACACTCCAATTTGCTTCACCAATCTGAATTGATGACAATCAATTTCATTAAACGAATATTTATTGAACATCTATTCTAGGCACCATGCTAGATTCTGAGTGAAGATACAAAGAAAAATTAAAAGTTAATTCCTACCTTACAAGAGCATATAGTCCAAAAGAGGAGATCAAAACAAATCACTATAAACATAGGGCAGAATATGTTCTGTGGCAACAAGGGTTAGATGAGAAAAAGCCTGTACTTCCCAGAGCGCCATACAAACTGTACAGATCTGTATTAATAAGGAATGTACTTCCTATGAGGTCCCAGGCCTCAAGATTCAGTTCTAATGAACACATGGCCAAACCTTCCAATGAAGCGTTAGGAGTAGGAACTGTGTTGGTCTTGAATTCTCTGCCATCAGGCCTGACTTCTGGACCTTGAGGCCCACAGGAAAATTAGTTCCCAAGTGGATAGTCTTGAGCATGGCACATTGAAAAGTACAGGCTTCACTTTGCTGAACTCTTTCCTATTTGATTGGGATGTGTGGTGGGTTCAGGGCAAGATCCATGATGCAGGTGATGAAGGAGCTAGATCATGAAAGGTGGGTAAGGTTTCATCAAGCAGGGGTTGTAGGACTGAACAGAGAAATACACATTATCACACATTTAGTAATGTCAGATTCCCAAACTTGGGACATCCAGAGGTAAAAGACTGAACAAATCTGTAATGCCAAAGAGAACAGCAGAGGAATGCTACATCTTGCTTTAAAAAAAAATTACAGAGCTATCTCTACCTGTCAAAGTATTTCTCTTCAAAACAAGTGGAAAAAAATCACTGGAATAAAGGCCTTTATCACCACTCCCTGGACTCCTGCAGTAGTTTCCACATATGTGTCTTTGTCTCAAGTCTCTGGGTCTGCATTCCAATTAATGTCTCATTGCTAACATGCATTTCTAAAATGTAGTTAAGCTTTCTCATGTCACTCCTACTTATTAAACCCTAGTGGCTCACTATAATCACTATGAACAAATATAAAGTAAATATCAACTCCAGTGGCCCTTTTCTCAGTTCTCACATACATATATACACACATATATACATATATAGTATACCCATATATTTTCAGGTCCCCACTCAGCAGAATATAAGATCCTCTTAAGAGCAGATACTAGTTCACTTTCATATTTATATCTCCAGTATGTAACACAATTATCTAGTATAAATAACAGGAAACTAATCCATGCTTGTTCCGTGGATGGTCAAAACACCTAGATGTGACTAGTAGTGCTGCCATTTACTCATCAGGTTGCCTTAAGACGGTCACTTAAGCCTTCCAAGAATCAGTTTCTCTGTCAGTAGAGTGAAAGGGTTACACTCGATCGATCAATCGTGTCAAACTCAAACAGAAATGGAGGATACTGAATGATACATAAAGATCCCTACAGGCCGCATATTGACTTAGAAAACCACATATTAACATTTTCTGTGATCTATTGCATTTGTATTTATTTTGTTAAATATTTCTAAATTACATTTTAATCTGGATTGGGCAGCACTTATGACTATCACGCTCACAGGCTACATGCCTGACCTGTCTGGACTACATTATGTCTAAAGTCCCTTCAGACTCCAAGATTCTGGGATTCATTACAGCCTAGCTCAGGTGTCACCAAGAAACTTTCCCTGATCCTCCAACTGGAATTGATCTCTCAGAACTTTTGAGTCTTGAATATTACTCTTCATGACCTCTCCAATGTATTTAGGTCATTCTAACTTACATTATACTTATTTGTGCACATCTCTTCTCCCTCAAAACTCCAATATCCTGAGGGAACAGGAAACACTGCATTTTTAGTTTTGAAACCTCAGTTCCTTGTATACTGAGGGCACTTAAAAAATAAATATCTTTTGAAGTGAAGGCTTTAGGGAGACAGCATGATACAGTGACAAGGACACTGGACTGGGAATCCATAGACCTGGGTGTCAATCTTTGCCCTACTACTTACCATCTCTATGACTCTGGGCAAATTATTTAACTTTTCCTGAGTTTTCTGATGTAAAATGAAGAGGTTGGTTTTGTTGATCTTTAAGGTGGGATCCAGCTCTGAGATTTTATACCTTTACCTATCTGGACCATCACTTCAATCTTACCAGTTATCAGGCAAGAACTAAAAAAAAAAAAATTAAAAATTCTCATTCCTTTATGTCAGTCCAAGACACTCTTGCTTTTGCCACTATTGGGGTAGTCCGATAATTACTACGCTCCTAAATAACTCCCAGATAACTTTTGGGTCCACCAAGCACCCATCCAAATGAACACAGAGGTTTACTGAGACAAGGTGGTGGTAGCAAGGGAATTCTACCCTCTGCTGTAACATACACAGAGCTAGACATTGGAACCAGTTTCCCGTGTGCTAACACTCTTAGAGACTTGTTCCTCTTTGGTGTGACCACTGTAAATTAGTATCAGTTTCTGGTGACATGTGCCAGCCTCTGGTTGAGAAGATGTCTGCAACAAAAGCTAATATATTAGATAGCTAGAAAGTGAGAGTTATTAACTATTTGTTTTTCTTTGTCCAACCATGCTACTCTTAGCTGACTTGTTACTCTCTTCTTCCAAAAATCCATATTTACAGAACCTATAAATAAAGGTTGTTTGTTACGTCCTCATCACTGAAATTTCACCGATGTACATTTTATAGTAACACCAATGATATATATAATTTCTTACAATAATTTATAATATTTTATTCATTTATAATTAATTTCACATCTGCACATCAGATTCCCTAGTTATATCTCACAAGAATACAGCTATTCTCCTAATTAGAATGCCATCATCAAAAAAAAGTCAAATACAAATTCTCTGCACTTGAAACAAGCTATCCAAACAGTGATTTCAGAATGTTAAGATAACACACCATTCTGCAAAGAAAACACATTTCGATTAAAAGAAAAAAAAACAAAACACGGTTAATAGCTTACTGTGGCCTTGAGGCTTCAGCCTGATCTGTCTGAAGTTTTTCTCCGCCTTCCACTTCCATTGTGCAATAAACAATTCGATTTGGAGCAACCGATTTTAAGCCTTGAACTTCCATTATGACAATCTAAATATCAGAAAAGGTACAAAAAGGCATTGTGTCACATCTAAGACCAAAAGAGATGCAGAGATATGGTAATGTTAAGTAATTCTACCCCTGAAAAAGTGCCTTGGGCTTTCCTACCTATAGCATTTTTTTCATACTGCAACAATGGCAGTCCTGTCCCCAGATGGAAATTCTCTCCATCCATTGAAGCAGAACTCAAATGCCCCCCTCATTCATGAAGCAATTCTAAATCCACAAAGGTTTTGAAAAGTTTACTTCCTCATTTGGTTTTATAGCACTTTGTGATGATGATAGCATAGAATATTATTCACAGGAATAAACAGTTTTTGAATGAATCATTTACCACCTAGAAAATCAATCAATATGATTCCCTGGAAGGAAGTTATACCATTTATTTTCTTATAGTCTTCAATTTCAACTTTTAACAACTGAAGATATAATAAAGAATTAATCTCCCCCAAAGTTTATTTAAGCACAAACTCAAATATCTCTTATCAACTATAACCTCAAAATTATTTTAAAATATTTAAATTTAAGGAAAACTCTTTAAGAGACCTCTAAACTCAGGCTGCTAAAAATGAAAATGATTCAATGCAAGCATTCACTAATGTAATTCTACAAAATGATTCACAACTGAATCTCAAAAACTGTGATGAGAGGTATGTGCATGAAATATCATCTACCATAAGGCAATCTCTTTTTTATAACTGATGGACACTAATGACATTGCCCCATTGTACAGTAATAGAAGCAGAAGCTTACATGAACGTTTACGTACATTATCTGATTTCCTTAAAAATTTCCCATGAAGTAGACAGCTTAGGTATTCTTATCCTTATTTTATAGATTTGAAAAGTGAGGCATGGAGAGAGGAAGTAATTAGCTCAAAGCCACAACAACAATAACAAAAACATAAAAATAATAATAATGATAATAATGACAATAATAATAACAAGCTTACTATGTGCTGCGCACTCTGCTATACACTTTACAATTATTATCTCCTCTGATCCTCACAACAACCCTGGGAGGTAGGTGCTATTATTATCGCACTTTTACAAGTGAGGAAACAAGTCAAATAGAAGTTAAGTGATTTGCCTAGGTTCATACAGCTAGCAAGCAACTAAGGTCAAATCTGAACTCCTGTCTTTCTGACTCCAGGCCAGGTGCTCTATCCACTGTGCTAACTAGTAGTAAATAGCATATCTGGAATTTGATCCTGGGTCTCTTGATTCCAAATTCAGCATTTATTTGACTGTACCACACTGTTTCTTGTTATGATGATCTCAGAAATGTTTTAACATTTATTATTTTAGATTATTACTACCACTGTGAAACTGTAGGCAAGTCATTTAATCTTTATGTGGCTCAGGCAACTTCCTAGGTCTTGGTTATTATGTCGTAAGTTGTGGTCTATTTTAGTAGACTGATCTCCCACTTTGCCTACAATGACAAAATCAATGTGTGTTACTACCATTTGTCATTAATTCTTACTGTTTTCTATTTTGATATATTAGCACTGTATATTTGAGAAAGACAAAGAGAGAGAGAGAGAGAGAGAGAGAGAGAGAGAGAGAGAGAGAGAGAGAGAGAGAGAGAGAGAGAGTTATTAACATAGGTTCTATGGACTTGTTTTTAAAATAATTCGGCAAATATATTTCAATATAATTGGTTTCCTTTGTAATCCTAGGTATTTTATTTTATGCATTTTAATATGCAAGGATGGCTTTTTTATTTTTATTAAACACAAGTTGAATGCTCTTTATTATATCAAGTTCATACTATCATTCATTCTTATAAATTCATATCTGAAGCTTTAGGTATTATTTCGTGTGCATATCATTTCCTGGTATAAAAGCATATAATATTTTCATATTCAAACTTAAGAACACTTCATGGTATGCAGTTATTTATCATGAAAAAGCTCCTTCCCCAAATTCACCCTTTCTGGATTACTCAGTATACTATGCTATAAGTTTTGTTCTTTATAAGAATCATGAGATAATAAGACATATAAAGGCAATCAATCATCTTCAGAGTAACTGATTCTCCCTTTCAGATAATCCAAAATTCCAGTGTAAACTTCTAGAAAGCCACAAGGAATAAGGTAAGAGATATAAATAAGTAAATGGATTTGAATGTATACAACATTTTAATCGCTTCTTGTTCTGTATTTTTTTTTCCTAGAGGAAAATATGAGGACAATTGGTACCTCAGAAAAACGACCAACGCAATGAAATCTTTGTAGGTTCAAAAGATCATAGACTTACAGGTGGAAGAGGACCTGGAAGACATCCAGTTCAACCCCTCATTTGATGGTGGAAAAAAAAACTATAACCCAAGGAGATAACAACATACAGTTAAGTGCAAGAGGAAGGATTTCCACCCATGTTCTGCAGCTCCAAGAGTCAGAGTTTTTTCTCCCCCATTTTTAATCAAAACAGTTCTAAATTAAAAATTTTTTTGGATTTCTGTCATTTTGGCTTCTCTTCAACTGAAAACAAATGTATAGAATTATTAAAGATATAACTGAACAGATGTTTCCAGGAATTTATGGAAAATGGTGACATATTTCAGAAGCTTCTAATAGTTGAGGAAGATGCATTTAGCCATTCAATTTACACGGAAGCATACCTCTGGAGCAGAGCTCAAAGACTATTAATTAAACAAAATAAATACGTGTAGCATTCACCATTGAGGGATGTGCTGAATCTCTACATGAATGAAGCTCCTATACCAGCTGAGTTATTTGGAATATCTAACTTGAGTGCCATTTCCACTTACTTTTCATAAATAAAGGCCACATGCAAATCTCTGAATCGCTGTGATTTTAAGTACTTTTTTTTTTTTGCTGGGGGAATAGGGGGTGGGTCGGGGATCCTTTGTCTGCTTAATTCTAATCAAATGGTATAATTTTTACAACCTACATTAGGAATGAAGCATATTATACAATGTAAGATGATATTAAGAGAAAATGTGCTAACATCGGCCCACATTTCAGATTATTATCCATTTACATGGCATTTCCCTCTTCAGTCTGTCAAATAGCCAAAGTATAAAAGAGATGAAAGAAAGCATCTGCTAACATTATTTCTGTCACCTCCACGACAAGTTATTGTAATCAGGACCTCTTCAAACACCCAACTTGTAAAACAATCATTCTGTTCTCTACAACAATACTACTACCTACCATCTGTGCAGGGAATGCTTTACCCTGAAGAATTGCCAGTTTTAAAAGGTTTTATAAATAGAGTAAGAAGTTTATAACTCTGAATTTATAGAATAATATGCAATGACCCCTAAATTGTCAGGGAAAATGAAGGTCAAAGAGATCAGGGTAATTTCAGTTTTTTTCATCATGTAATACCAACCTAATTTTAGTCCTCTGTTTAAATGCCTCTCTATTAAGCTTCTTACTTGAGATATTGTTAAATATCAAAACTGATTCTGTCATATTCCCTTTTCTGAGTTATTTCTGATTTGTTAATGGACAGGCACAGGAAGATAGACAAGGTGCTGGCAAAAGGAAAAAAGAAAGCCAGAATATATGCTTCTGAACAACTGAGAAGTGACTAAAAATGTATAATATAAAGCCTATTTAAAGACTGAGTGAGAAAACGGAACAAGATGAAAATGGGGCAAGTAGAATAACAGGTACCTATAATGCTCTCCTTATAATCAAATGTGTAATTCTCAAATTACATCTAGTAATAGTGATATGTAGGTAGAGTAACTCACCACTGGAAGTCTTGAAAAATCATAGGATCACAGATTTTTAGAACCAAAGGAACCCAGGTTGGCACAGTGTTAAAAACTTAAAACTATTGTGTTTTAGGTTACACTGAAATCTCAGCAATTTAGGACCCAGATTGAGGGGGAAAAATAGAAGGAAAGCATATTAGACTTTCGTCCTGCGCACATTTCAGTCTCAAAGGACAAAGTAACAGAGGACAGAGGTTGGGAATAGGGGCGGATCACCATATTCTTACCTCTGAATTTCATTTACAGAAGATCACAAAGGGAGAGAAGACCAAAATGAGACTTTCCTTCCAGCTGCTTTAGCGTGAATAACCACTAATTTAACCAGTTAAGGCTTAAATATCATTAATGGAGAGATTAACGGCTGTAACATCTAAGAGCAGGCTTACACCTAGATCTGCACAGCTTCCAGGGGCAGCCATCAAGTTCAGGGAACATGTATTATATTTCATGTAAACATACATCATGTAGGGAATCAAATTATATGCAATTTTGTTACTTAAGACATTTGGATCTAGAATAAATTAAGACTCTAAACTCTGGTAACGGCTAAGATTGAAAGACAGAAAAAAGACAAAAGATTACCTTTAAGTAACAAAAAGAAGAGAGAAGCAAACAAAAATACCACATAAATTTCATTCTTTCTAGTTTTACTTTCAAAAAGAAAACTAAGGAGAAAAAAAAAACTCCCAAGAAATAAAACAAGCAGACCAAACACATTCTAATAGAAGACTCTGTGAATTCCAACCAAGAAGTAAGAATGACTGAAAAATATCTATACGTGTGCATATATATGTACACACATATATTCATATATTAAAATAAATCCTTGCAATCATTTTGGAGAGCAATCACAAAATATATGATTCATAACTTGTGAGCCAATGGTTCATTTACTAATACGTTGCTCTAAACCTATCATAAAAAAAGAAATCTATATATTTATTTAAAACAGCAAAAACGGAAAACTAGCTGAATATTCCATGACTAGATAATGGCTGAATAAATCATAATGCACGAATTTAATAGCATAACATGATAACTGTAAAGATAAGATAGATCATTATAAGGAAATAGGGTAAGGCCTACGAAAAATGAGGAAAATCAGGAGTATCAAAAGAAGAACTATATTCCTAGTGACTACAAATATATAATATAACATAAATAATATATGTATATTCATATACATACACACACACACACATATACCTCTCCCTATAAATGCATTTGAAGTGGGTGGGGGGTGTCAAGACCGCTGACTTCACTGAATTGAGCAACAGTAGGCAAACCATAACCAATGGGCCAAATCCAGCCCCATTCCCGATTTATAGAGCCCACAAGCTAAGAATACACAAGGAGGCAAGAAATAGAGTGGCATGCATGAGGAATATGAAGGCAGTCAGTCTTCTACCATACACTGCAAGAAGGGGAATCAATTGTAATAAGGCTGGAAAAGTAGGAGGGGACTAGGTTTGAAGTGCTTTTAATGCCAAATGAATATATTTGATCTCAGATGCAACAGGGAAACAAAGAACTGATTCAGTAAAAATTCAAAACTTTGGCAGTTGCTAGGAAAATAGAATGGAGAGGGGAGAGACTTGATGCAGGAAGCCCAATAAACCAAGGCAAGAGTTGACGAGAATAGCTGCATACGTGATAAGAGGACATGAAAGACGTTGAGGGAAAAGAAGTGACGAGACACTGCTTGTGTATATGTATATATGAAATAATCAAAAGTGAGAAGTCAAGAATAACGTGTAGGGGTGAAAGTGGGAGGTCTGAAGGATGGCACTGGCTTTGACACAAGTTTGGTGCCCTTAAGAAGTTTGGAACAAGGTGGATATGGGTTGGAAGATAAGGACTTCTATTTTGGATATGCTTCCTTTGAGAAGCCTAGAGGGCATCTAGTTTGCAAGATCCAAAGAAATGGGGGTGATCTGAGACCGAAGCCCAGGAAAGACATGAGCATTAACTAAATCGATCAAGGAGTAATTTGTATATTGAAGGTAATTAAATCCATGGGAAGTGCCGAAGTCTCTGAATGAGGGAGTAGATGGAGAGAAGAGTAAAAATTAGAGGGTGTGATATGGATGATGACCACCAAAGGAAACTACCAGGTGACCCAGGGAAGGCACACTATTTAATAATATTGATTTGCCACTTAAATCTACATGCATTTGCATATAATGTTTAACTAGGAATTTTCAGGTATAATTTAACTGATATATATGCGTACATATGTATGTACGCATATATACATAACACGAGTGTTTGTGTATGTATACACACTATATACACAGAGCTTTTAAGAATAAAAACCAGAAAATGTTATTTTCGCGGTTTCCTTCAAGCTGACAGACTGTCTTGTGAGAACTTACCTCTAATGTGAATGACAGCACCACGTCTGATTTTGAGAGCTGAATCTCATTTTCATCTCCCATATCTAAGAAAGCCGAATTCTGTGATCGCTTTAACTTCTGCAGCTTAAACTCAGGACCACCTTTAGATACTGGAAGACTTTCCAGATTGGCCATTAACAAATTCACAGAAGACCTCATCTCTTCTATGAACATGTTTTCCATTTCTTTTGCAACAAACTTGGGAAATTTCCTTTCCTTAAAAAAATAAAAATACAAATATTGCTAAACATTTCAAATTCAAAATGTTACTAAATATGTTTTAAATCACAACACAACTAATTCAAGTCATTTTAAAAAAGTGTAACAAGATGATAGATGTTTCCAAGGTGGTATTACCAAACAAATAAATTCTAAGTTGACTTTCTAGCACACCTGCTCTACAATTTAGCTTAATAGACTAAAGCTTCAGGTCTGAACAATTTAGAGTTTAAACATATTGACTCTACATTATTGAGGATCAGTATAATACACAAAAAGCAAGATATCATGCCAATCCACACTAACTTCTTCTGAAAAGGCAGCTCCTTGAGAAAACATACAAACATAATTATAAAAGTCAATTTAATTTTGTTTTATAGGTGATCTGATGAATCTCAATTAGCCTCTGATGGCCTTTTAAGTCTTGAGAACTAACTTTTCTTCAGGAATGGTATTCAGGACTTAATGTCTTTTATGCCAAGAGTCAAATATTTTACATTACCAAAGATATCCAAGGTTTCACAGTAAGAATTATTTTGTAACACATTTTTGTGAAGTTCATAGCAAATATTCAACATGACCCAAATTTTCAAGATATCACATCAGGTAATTTTCATACTTTAAAAAGATGATACTTTCATAAAGTAAATAGAGCTAAATATATTAAGACTTCACATTCTTAAACTCATATTCTTAATCATCAGGTTTACAAAATTATATCAAGACATTTTTTAAAAAAACAAAATTAAAAAGGGAAGACATTAAGAATAATTACTTGTTGTTCATAAATAGCAGATTTAATAATATAAATTTTGAAAGGTTATATGGGATCACAAATTGATGCAAAATATTAAATTATTTGTTCTCCAAGGTACTGTTAGTGGAATTATGCATTAGGGCAACCATTCTAGAAAGCAATTAGGAATTATGGGGAAAAAAGGAGAAAAATATCTATACATTTTGACCGAGACGTAGTAACATTGAGCATATACCCCAAGATGGTAAATGATGAAAAAATGAAATGTCCCACATTCACCAAAACTAGTAACAAAGAAGATGCCCATTCAGTGGGAAATAAACAAATTTTGAAACATTAATGTAATACAATATTATGACGATGTTAGAAACTATGAATACGATGAAAAAAGGGAAACATGGACTTATGTGAACTACTGCAAAATAAAATTAGAACAAAAAAACAACATACACAATCACTACAATAATAATATAACTGTAAATTCAATAACAAAACTACTGAAATTGAATGTTTTGAAATTATAATGATCAAGCCTGATTCCAAAGGAGAGATATAAGAACAAATTTCCCTCCCTTATTTGCAGAGATGGAGGACCATGGGTGCAGAATACTGTACATGATGCTGGGCTTCACTGATGTGTTGGTCAGTTTTAATGAATTGTTTATCTCAGTCTCCATTTTTTATTCTTTGTTACAAAGGATGGCTTTCTGGGAGTGGCTATTCAGAACTGTTAGTTTCACATTACATAGCAATGTGAAAATTTGCTAAGCACTTTTGTTACAAAACTCTATGGAGATAGCCAAGCAAGTGTTACCATCTCTCTTTTAATGATGAGAAAATGCAGTTCTGAAAGGTTAAGTAACATGGCCTTAGCTACACAGCCAGTAAGTATCAGGAGAAAGTTTAAAATCTCAGTTTCCAGAATCCAAGTCTAGAATTCTTTCCATCACACCATCATCCTGTTTTCATTATAGCATGAAAAATACAATTAAAAAATTGTCTTGGGGCCTGGAATTCTATTAAAATATAAAAAAAGGTTTAGAGACAATAGTGGCTCAGTGTAATTTCTGAAGAAATGTGCATTGACAACAATGACAACAACAATGATGATAATAAGTTTGGAGACTGAAGAAATCTCTCCCCAAATACTCCCCATCAGATTCTTGAAATGGTGAATGTCTTCTTCATAATTAATCAACAAACTTAATGCAAATGAGATAAAAGAAAGGGTGAAGGCTAGCCAAGAACAATTTATGATTCATTTTATTAGTGTGTCAGAAAAAGATTTTTCAATGCTGATGCCATGTCAAAGGTCACTTATAGTAACAACCAAGAAAGGTTTTGTTTTTGTTTTTGCTTTTTTCCTGAAGGGTGAGATCACTTGGGCAAAAGGCTACTTTGGCCTTGGATTCCCTAATTGATTTTAAATAAAGTCTGCCATGTTACACTGCCCTGGAGGTCATGTAACTGCACATATTCTAGTCCACCTTTATAAGAAAAATGCAAATACGCAAAAAGCAAAGTGACAACAGGGAATTTTTCAATAAATCAGGTTCCAGGGTAGATACTGGGGTCAGCATCTACTTATCATTGTGTCTCACACAAACTACATGTCTACTTCCATTCAGCTGTATGGTAATGTAACTGATTTTCATCTTCACCTAAGCCTTTTAGAAAGGTTAAACAAAAGGCATGAGAGGATATATAATGCTTTATAAAAAGCATTTTTAAAATTTAAAAAAAATAAACTTTTCTTTTTAATCTGCAAAAAAAATGAGGGGAATATACTTGTTTTGTTCATTTCTTGAACACTGGTCATGGCAGATGTAATAACAGTTACATTAAATTCCAAAATCAGTAGATTTTCCCAGAGTTCTATTTTAATTTTTATTTCATTAAGTCTAGACAGATTTCATCTTAACCTGTGGCCTAACAGGACAGTGCTTATTTTAAGTCTGAAAACCTGTACTGCTGTTTTATGATCTTATGCATTGTGGCTATATTTCTGAATTATCATAGCATACAAAATACATTATTTTTCATTGGCAATTCATTTGCATTCATGAAAAACAATATAGTTATATTAGGGGATAGGAATTAGACGTGTTATTTCACTGGTATAGGGTATTCCCAGTTGAGGAAACTCCATGACGAATGCAAGTCAGTAACTTTTCTGCAAAGCAGCCAAGAGGTGCAGTAGATAGAGCGCTGGGCCTGGAGTTAGGAAGAGCTGAGTTCAAATCCAGCCTCAGACACTTACTGTGTGACCCTGGGCAAGTCATTTACCCATTTGTCTCAGTTTCCTCATCTGTAAAATGTGAAGAAAATGGTAAACCATTCTAGTGTCTTTGCCAAGAAAACCCCCAAAGGGCTCATGAAAAGCTGGAAGGACATGATTGAAACAACTGAACAACAATAAACTTCTCTGCAATTTCTAGTAGTAGATAGCGGCCTAGAGCACTGAGAAGTTAAAGGACTGGGTCACATACTCAGCATATTTCAGAAGTAAGACTTGATTTGAGTTGCTTTCTTGTCTACTACTCTCTATTTTCACATTTCATTCATATATATATATATATATATATATATATATATATATATACACACACACATACAATGGTGAAATATATATATGTGTGTGTGTGTGCGTGCATATATGTATGTATATTGTCTATATGTAATACCATCTGTTAGTAAATATAAATTACCAAATTTAGTAATCCGTTATGTGCCAAATACTCTGCTGGGCACAATATTAAAACCAAAGTCCTTTCCCTCAAGGACCTTACAGTTCAGGGAAGGAGGGAGGGAGAGAAGGAAGGGGGAAAAAAAAGCAAAAATATATTAAGCTAGTACTGTGTGTTACATTGTGCTAAGCCCTATGGACAAAAATACAAGCAAAAAGAAAAGGAAGACAACACACAAAAATAAACAGAAAAGTGAGAGGTGAAGGTAATGAAGTATCTGATGTGGAGGCATGATTTTGAAGTCCAGAGAAAAGTCAGGAAGAGAAAAATAAATTAATGTGGGTTGGAATTGATAAGAGAAGACTTCATGGAAGAAATAAGGCTTAACCTGTGCTTTGAGGAGCAGATAGGATGCGGATAGGCGAAAATGGGAGGAAAATGGCATTCCTGATGACAAGATAGTATAAAAATGCACAAGGGGTATTTCTAGACCATATGGTTGTGGGACTGTATGATTTTCATATTGGAGAGTAGTTGGAGATAAATTTTTTTTGGGGAAAGGTTGCAACTTCATTTAGGATTTAGGATTTTGAATATCATCCTAAGGAATTTCTACATCTTCCTCTAAGAAATTCTGAACCCTTGGAAGTTTTTAAGCATTAAGAATGGCATAATAAAAGTGGTATTTAAGATTAATCTCATTGTAAAGTATAGAATGGGTTGGAGAAAGTAATACAAGTTATAAGAATATAAAATTAAGTTCAGGTTTGAGGTGATAAGATATTTTATTAGAACTGTGCAATTAAGAGTAAAAATTGAAGGCTGTATACCATAGATAACATAAAAATGTGATTTCTAATCACTGTCATCATGGAATTTATAGAGCACACACTATGTGTCAGGGTACTGTGCTAAGTGCTTTTTAAGAAAAAAACAATTATCTTCTTATATGATCTTCACAACAAGCCTGGGGGGTAGATGGTATTATTATCCCCATGTCACAGTAAGGAAATTGAGGCAGAAGTTAAATGATTTGCCCAAGGTAACACAGCTATCATGGGGCTGAATTTCTATTCTGGTCTTTTTGACTTCAGGCCCAGTGCTCTCTTTATTGTGCCACCCAGCTACTAAATAACTAAGTAGATGTCAAGGGCAACAAAAAGGAAAAAAATCAAAGTAGCTCCAAGGTTTCATCTCAGAATAATTGAGAAAATTTTGGTTAAAAGAGTTAATCAGGGTGTAGGGAAGCTAGTTCTCATGTGAAGTTAATAAGTTTGTTTTCATAAATATTGATGTTGAGGTGTCCCTGGTAATGCTCAACAGATAACTCAAAATATGGGGGTCAAGACAGGGTGAGACAGAATGATTAGGGGCATAGAACTAGAATTTATTTGTGCACAGTTACTAGCTGAAGGCTTTATAATGAAATCATTTTCAAAAGTAGAAAACTAGAAAAGACGGAGACAAAGAATAAATGGCTAATAAATGACCTCAGGCAGATACTCACTCTTAGGAATAGCTTAACCTAAATCCATAACTTCAAAGTCAAAGAA